TGTGTTTACCCCGCAAAGAAAGGAATGCTGCGCCTTTGCCACAGCTGCCTGAGCCCACTTCCTCTTGGTTGGCATCATAATGACACTTGTGACTGATGCTGTATTCTGCACCGGATCGGGTAAGTACCGAACCAGACCAATTGACGTAACATGAAACTATTCCCGGCCTTCACGCGACCTGGCCCCGCTAGCCCGGAGAGCCATTTCTGCGACATATGATGGGAGAAATCGATGCCCAACGAACCTGTTATCGCAACTGGGCCACAGGCTGGGTTGTGGTGGGATGGATAAATATGTGTTGTCCTCAGCCCTAGCCGGAGTTTCTCCGCGGGTTCCAAAAGCCTCCAAATGATGCGGGGTGTGGAATCTGATTTCTAATGACAGGCCCCATGATTCGTTGGCCAGATAGTGTGGATTCGTGAGGTTTGCGCTCCCTTCTGTTGTGCATCAGACAATGAAGGATTTCGCGGCATGATGTCCGTCTTCACAGATACTACTACAACCATGCGTTTGTCCGAGGCACTTCTCTTCGGACTGGACCTCTGATCACAAGCCTGGGAGGATTGTCCAAAGATAAGTATATTCCAGGTTATGTCCATAATGATCCCTGCATCATGATGGCCACACACACAGACACAAGGAACGGACCCATCCATCCCTGTCCTATATCGGAGCGATTTGGTCAAGGCCCAATCGCTACATAAGACATCCCTTCTCTGCCGTTAGCCTACCTCCCCTATGCGTAGTCACGGGATTATTATATACCAGCATGATAAACAAGGAAGGGCGTAACAACCAGCGCACTCGACAGATATAAGACTTACTAGAATGGCCAGATCGACTGTACCAACCAGTGTAGCTTTTTTTCTCTCTTAGGCCATTGTATTGACGTGTATAACGCCTGGGGTCGTCAGAATCATAAGATATACAAATAAACATGTTAATATGTAACTAACTAATTTTATAACTCTTAAAAATATTGAAACTTTCCTTTATGACCTAATGAATCTATCAAAATATCATCTGTATTCGATACATTGACCTGTGATTCCCAACAACTCGGATGGTACCGGCTGCTACAGGCTACGCTACGTCGTGCTGTTCCTCTGTAAAGACCCAAACTAGCCACAGTGGGCAAATTTGCTTTTCTTTTCTTGCGGAGTGTATCTGCATTCGAGGCACGGGACGGAATCACGGTTGTGACTGTGTCTTACTATTCATGTCGAATTGCTTTATGCAATACAGAACTACAAATGAATCTGCACGCCCTGTTGCTTGTGCTAGGTCACTGTCTTAGTTGAAGCCACCCGTGCATTTGACGGAGACCCCAATTGTTTCGGAGTCGCCAATATTTGTAGGAATACAAGCCTGCTACGACTCACTTTGACATAGCTGCGCGGACGTGCTATGGCCGAAATCAAACGATTCATCGATCAACAGTGAATGATGGACAGAGGAAAGTAGGTCGGAATTCAACGCTATGACTGACGAGCAGAGATGATTTCATAAGTGGAGGGAAGAGAAGACAACGGTTCGAAACGGGTACTTGGACCCGATACAGTCTATACGGTGACCTAGGATTGACTTGCTGCTCTTGACGAGGACGCGTAAGTCGGAGGCTTTATATCAATTTGGAGGACCTAGTCTATGTACAAAAGGGATTGGGTCTGTTTAAAGAGATCGAAGAATGATTAACGCCCCACCAATGCAAATTCTTTCACGCTAATCTCAGCATGTAAACGAGAAAACTGGGTATCGGCCTTCACGATTGAAGAGAAGGGCGCCTGAATGGATGCGCCTCGGTGTTCCTGGATTCGGGTTAGCGTCGAGGATTTGAATGACAGTTGTTGCAGCACCTACAAGACGTAATCATCCAGATTTACAACATCCGGCTCGGAGAAAATGAGGTAGAAGTACTTCAGGGTTTCCGCTAGCCAGAAACTCTCCATGTAATCCAGCTGCGGCGACTCAAGATCGCGCACATCGGCGATTGCGGCGTGGGCAAAGTGAGTCCAAGTCATCTTCTCGATATTCTTAAACATTCGCCATGCAGCATCCTGCAGTTTCGTATCGCCGGTAATACGGTACAGTATGAACACAGATTCGATAGCCTCTGGTCTTTGAACAATGTCAGCGCATGAGTATGCCAGCAGAAAGAGAAAACTAACCTGAGGTGATACTTCGGGTCTGGAATATCAACAACTCCTGGCGGCAGCCCGTATGTCTCAATCAATGATTCAGCCTGCTTGATGTGATTCTCCGAGCTGGACTTCTTCGCCAAGCGGTGCCGCACGTCCTGATACCACTTGTTTTCGTCCCACTTGCAATCATTCGGGTCACGACATGCGCTCAGATGGAGAATCTCTGGCATGATGCCAGTAGGCATGATATCGTATGCCCAGATGCATCCATCGGCCAACTTCCGCGCGATTGAGAGTTCTTCAGGACGGTCGAATACTTTAGCCCCAATGCCAACAGTACCACCCAAAAAGCACTTCAGATGTTCCCATTGTGGATCCAGCCTTTCCCTGCTGGGGGAGATCACATTGGCCTGGACGTTCCCAGCAAAAAGAATGTCTCGGTTGTCCTTCGTCATTGGGCGGAAGAGGAGACGGCTCTTGAGAGCTTTCATGAACGAGTCGTACATTCTGCGATATTGATCCGTTTGGGCTCCAAGTAGCATATGTTCCTTCGGGAGGTACTCGTACGTCGAGTCAGCCATCCCTCCGATTGTAAATCGAGGGTCACTGAACTCCATATCTTGTGCATTCACCATCATAGGCCACAGGCCTGGCAGTTTTGTAAGTCCCTGATTCTCTTCAAAAAAGTCCGTAATCCTTTGAATGGCATCAAAGTATTTAGGGTCCTTGGTCAGCTGAGACATTCTGGTGAATTCCAGACTGAGCGATCCAAGTTCAGCAAGAATAGTTTGTTTACCGGGCATAATGCCGTGACCTTCTGCAGATCTAGAGGCCGGTCAGCACCTGCTTTTATTATACGGATACAGCGCCTCGGATAGCACAATTCGTCTGGTCATCTTGGTTAAACGTATGTCTGCCTTACCTGGTCCATTCCCATCTGGATTGCGGCATCCTGTTACGGGTGTCGAACGATCCATATATCATGTCCGCAATCTCGGTGGCCTTCTTAAGCAAGATTGGGTATTTGCCGTCGGTGAGATCATAGGCACCCAGGAACCCGCCCAGGTAGCGAATGTTGGTCTCAAAGATATTGATCTGCAAGGCATGCGTTGTCGAGAAATCAATGCGGTCGAGAGCTTCCAGCGCTTCTTCAAACTCTTTTGTCATGCCCATGATGACCAGAGAATCAAGGGAATCAACCAGCGTAGCTGCCCATCCAGCGAACGTCTCGCGATGGCGCCCACTAAGGGGGGATAGCTCGTCCCGTAGCCAGGCATTGTCTCTGTATCCTTTCCACGCATGTTGGAACGCCTTCTTCACGGCGTTTTGTCTCTTCCTCCTCCTCCATCCAGCAACCCACGACTCTCTTGGAAACTCATACTGTATCTTAGGTATAGCGGATGGTACTGCAGTAGGAAGAGGAATATATTCCTCAATTGGATGGTGTTCAGATTGTTTAGTCCAATGGATTCGATCACCAACTGAGGATGCTGAAGTCGAGGTGGGCTGTTGCGCATTGTCATGGGCATGTGAATGCGGTCTCTTTGTGCCAGGCGGTAGACTAGAGAACAGACTGTAGGTGAGGCAGATGAGAATCACAGTGGGAAGAAGATAGCTTCTCCGTGAAAATATCATGGTGGTTGGTTTATTATAAGAAATAATGGCACAAATGGACAGAGAATTGATTGAGAGAGAGGACAGCCGTTCAAGCTACGGCCAAAAGTTATAATATAGAAATAAGTTTAAGCATCGAGAGGAGGCTCGATACCAGACTCAGTCTGAAGTCACCCCGGGCTTGGGATTCCGAGACCAGTACAAAAAAGCGAACGAATTGGGGGAGTCTCCAAGGTTCGCGAGACCCTTGAAAAGCAGGTGTTGTCTAGGAGAATATGAATGGGAAAAAGACATATGGCCCGTATATAGCCGTCAGGGATCAATCACCCCTGGCTGTAGGGGAAGCTCGAGGACCTTTCCTGCTACTTCAGGTTAAGGCTAGCTCAGAAGCATCAGTATCATTGGTAATTCCAGCATCTTAGGTGGAATGTTGTATCAGACGGGTCAATTGCACTGCCAAACAGCCAGTAATGTGTGGCATGCTGATCGCAAAGAGGAGACAAACCGCATCAAAGTGGCTCAGAAAGCTAACAGAGCTTACCACAGTAAGTAAGAGACGAGCAAGGAAAACAAGCACCGCGGCGGGAGGATCTGCCCATTGCGTAAGCTGGTGGCGCTTTCGACCCTGGCTGGCCGCGGGGCCTTGGATCCCAGGAAATGAAATTGGATTAGTGAGACTCAGATTGGTAGGATTTTCTATTCTTAACCTTTGACATATCCCGTGGGAAACGGCCCCTGGAGAGCGAGGGGGGCGGAAGGGTCTCGGGCTCTGAGCCTCTGTTATGGAACAGTAACCCGCATCTTGGCAGCAATAGCAGCAATGCCAGCAGCTTGAGGGAAATTGATTGGGAGATTATTGGTATCCCAGGTATGCAGTGAATGAGGCCAGCCAGGGTCTGAAAGAGACAGACAGCCTAGACTGCTAGACTAGAAAGCACACCCTTCGGGGTAGAGAGGGCTGGGTATCGGATAAAATGATGAATGTGGAGCCTGGATGGGCCCAACTTCCAAGGGATCCAGTGCTTTTGCTTGGAGTCTTGGACTGTGATTAATGGGAGTGGAGGCGGGACTGCGGGCGCAAGAAAAGCACGGGTGAGGGCGGGAGACTGCTTGTTCCATTCCGTCCCATCGCTGTTTGCTCTGTTTGCTTCGTCTGTGTAGCTGCCTTACCAACCAGGCACAAACAGCCTGCTTCACTCCTTTGGGTTATTTCTTCTATCGGGCTTAAAGGTTGACATCCATGATTGTATCACCACCGTCAAAGTCATAACATCGCTCCAGCTTCAGAAATTGCTTAGATATACCGAATACTATATAACCCAATACAGCAATCAAGTATGTAGGAAGGAAACGGAAACACTTACACTTTTCTTTCAGCCAGTGCTAACACCACGGCAGACATTAACTTGCTGCAAAGTATAAGTCCATATCGACCAGTAACTCAGTCCTCTTGGCCTAAGGCTCTTGTATCCATACTCAACTTCTTCCGCTACCCAGAGCACGGCACCATCAGACCACACAGGTGTGCTGTGCCCAGCTCATACCGTAGCGGTCCCATAACGGGGACGCCGCCGTCTGCTCGAACAGAATGGCCATCACAGGGTAAACCACCGTTTATTCACTTGCTCCCGTCGAGCTTGACCCTCTTTCAACAATTAAACTGACCCAACTGCAGGGTGTACTTCATTCCTTCCAACCCCAATGCCTCGACGGCACTGGCAACGGTAACGGAGCGCCTCCACACGGCGTTAGTAGAGGAGCCCACCCTCGTCGGCCGGTGGTTCCTGGAGCACAAGCTCATGCGAGATACGCCATCATGCCTTCCAGCGTCCACACCGCAGCAGCGCCAAGCGCAACCACGATACATGCAGTTCCTCTCCCTCTCCTACCACGCCAACCACGGCTTCATCTACACCTCTGAACCCGCCGCAACGACCACTCCCACTAACCCTCCCCCGGCCCCAGCAGCGGCGCTTACTACAGCCGGGGCATCCTCCGGCAGCCCATTATCGTCGTCATCATCAGCCGGTCCCATGGTGATGACAACCGTCCCGCTCGCATCCAGCAGCACACTCTTCTACCACTTCGGCTACGCCTGCCAACCCTTCTGGTGCCACCGTCACACGGTCACCGTGCCCGGCGGCGCCGTCTACGACGTGGGCGACTTCCGCGTGCGCGTCGGGGACGTGCGCCAGACGCAGCCGGCAGCAAGGATCCGCGGCACGGTCGTGGAGATCGAATGGCGCGGCCCGTCCTTGGTCAGCTCGATTGCCGCGCAGGCGCTGCTGGCCAAGAAGATGGGTCCCGGTGCGTACGCCGCGACTGGTGACGAGGGAGACGGCGACTCCGCAATCGACATGAGCTTCTTCCCGGACGGGGTGGAGGAGGCGGATGTGGAAGCGGAGTATGCGGCGAGTGCGGCGCTGATTCGGGAGTTCTGGGCTCGGTTGGGGATCGAGGGCGCGCGCGAGGCGATCCTGGTGCCGGATGTTGGGAGGGAGGTCAAGGAGCAATTGAAGCGGCTCAAGGCGCAACAAGGTATGCAGAGAGAGTCTGCGGAGAAGCGGGAGCAACAGCCGGACGAAGATCCCGACCCGATGGCGGGAGTGGATTCGGCGAGGCAGTTCATGGAGATTTTCCGGTTCAATCGGTGACACTCTGTATTCAACATTCTATCAAATGGAAAAGAAGGCTCGAATGCGGTGGAGCAATTCAGGTGTGTTCTCATTATAGAAACCTGTCTCTGGGAAGATTGCCAGATCAGCTTAGAGATAATCCTAAGTATGTGTGCTACTATTCTCGGGGCTTGGTTGGTGAATCTGGGTTGGGTTGTGATATGCTTCCTTTCAAGATTTCTTGGCAGGTCATAAGCTTCAACCCTACAGGGAATGTTACTTGGCAGCCTGAAATGACTTGACAGGTCCTGAAGATAAACTCTGGTTGGGCTGTTTCGCCCGAGCATCACTACCGCTGAAGCACGGCAACTAGAACCTAGGCGGCTAGATTGACTGACAAGAGGGCTAGCAGCGAGAAGCAGCCTGTTACGAGGGCATAAGGACCTGGACATGCAATCCCAAGCATCCTCGGCCAAACCAAGGGAATTCAATATCTGTGGAGCACACAGGTATTGTTGTCCCTCATTTGACACGACCGGGCTTGGTCTAGGGTTCATGTCGGCGCTAATATTGTTTGCAACAATGACGACAAAACGACTATGACAATGGAGAGCGCGCTAATGCCCAACCCCTGGTGACCGTACTCGAATAGATAGACTACAAGAAACTGTATCAGGAATGAGATGGGTTACTGCGGAGTACACTTCTCTGCCCCTACCCTTTCGCTAACAAAAATTAAACAAATTGGATATTAACAGCCATCTATTTTTGCATCATGAGCTGGACAAACTCATTGTCTGGAAGAAGAAGTAAAAGTTAGTCATCGGACGGACATTCAAGCAGGGAATGTGTGGAACATACAGTCAATACGGCCGTCACCGTCCTGGTCCGCCTCACGGATCATCTCATCGACTTCGTCATCGGTGAGCTTCTCGCCAATTGAGGTCATGACGTGGCGCAATTCCGCGGCAGAGATGAAGCCGTTGTTATCGCGATCGAAGACCTTGAAAGCCTCACGGATCTCCTCCTCGGAATCGGTATCCTTCATCTTACGGGCCATCATGGTAAGGAATTCTAGGCAGCTGTCAATACTATGTCTGGAGCCCGATGCATGGCTATCACATACCGGGGAAGTCGATAGTGCCGTTGTTGTCAGCGTCGACCTCGTTGATCATATCCTGGAGCTCAGACTCGGAGGGGTTCTGGCCGAGGGAACGCATAACGGTACCCAACTCCTTGGTGGTAATTTGTCCTGTAACATAGATTCTGTCAGAAATGCGATCGATTCTCAGTGGTTTCGGTGGCGTCTGCAGTGTGGTGGCTAGAGTGGTGCCAGGCGGGTTTCGTTGAGGGGTAAGGAACTACACTAACCATCGCCATCCTTGTCCTATCAGGAATCACGAGAAATGAATCAGTAAACATTGTTTCATAGCAGACGAGAAAGCATCGGGGTCGCTTACAAAGAGGGAGAAGGCCTCCTTGTACTCGGAGACTTGCTCTTCGGTCAGAGAATCGGCCTAAATGATGAGATGTTAGCAATTCTGACCAGCATTCCAGATCGATCTGCCCCGCAAAGTGGGGGATTTTCAACATGACCGGGCCAAGACTGCGAACAGGAAGGTAGACATACCATGGTTTAATGAGATATGTGTGATGGGATCACGAAAAAAACCAAGAAGAAGATAGTAGATCGAGGGATGGAGGAAGAAAAGGGAAACTGTTGGTTTGATAGGAGCGGGCGAAAGTAGTGGTGGGGGGGGGGGGGGGAGGAGGAGTCGGTAGTGGTGGAAGATGATTTAAGGGGAACCCGAATCCATCACAATAATAAAAGGACCATTGAGCGGGAATGCCTGGCAAGGCGGTCGCTTATGCCCGAAACGTGACCCGCCTGGGCCACCATGTGTCCTCAACTGTCAATTATTTATTGCTACTACGAGTAACTAGGTACAGTACGTAGTTGCTATTTTTGCCCGGGAGTGCTTCAGCTGCCGGCTGCATGCTTCTTTATTTTCCTGCCAGCTCTGCGTGATGTGATGGCTGTGCCCCTCGTGCATTACTCCCATCCCCTCGTGCTTGCACCGCCTAGAAAGCAGTGTCTGGCCGCACCCGTGGATCCCCAGCAGTACCAAAGCTTGAAGGCAGCAAGTTCCGCAGCTGTGTCCCAGGGTCAACTTTATTCAGGTACTTGTCGCTGGCTGCAGAGAGTTCCCCGACAGTCCATCCACTACTGCGTTCATTCGGGTACTTTGAGCCTCAATTGTGTCAAATGCGATGGTTTCCCCTGACTGCTGCGTTTCAATATGTGCGCAGAGATAGTGCTTGGATGACCACAGCTATAAGCCAATCCAACGGTGGTCCCTCGTTGCACTGAAGAGAGAGGGATTCTTCGGTTTTCCTTGGGTTATCATTTATACTTCGAGACTGGTCAATAAAACATATGTATTTATATATCACTTTGTCCTGACACGGTAAGCGCTATAATGTACAGACGCAGTTGACGACCGACTCTCGAACTACGTCGAAGTAATTACAGCAATACTTTTGTCTCGCTGTAGCCCGGAAGAAGCAGGAAGAGCATGATAACAGTAGGAAGCATGCCGCCGGAAACCTTTCTATGATGTAGGCGCGGCTCTATCCTCCGATGGTTAGACCAACGCTTCACTTCTGATTTGTATGCCTCAAGCAAGGGAGAGCCGAGCCTATCTGAGATATGATCAAAGGCTTGGATCTTCATCACTGAAATACTTGTGCTGAGTACACCGAGTTGCGATCAGGGTGCTGATGGCTGACGTAATGGCGAGGATCCCTCCATGCTCCATGCCGTGCTTTCCGAAAGAGGGAAAGTGCCGGATTGGCCTTCATGTGCAACATGCCCGGGAAGTCCAGCTACGGAAGTACAGAACAGCGACAGGTCCTATCGGGCGCATTTGGTGTTTGCAGTATCATCTACACAGTGATCAAGAGGGTCCTTGTATTTCCGCGAAACAGACTATTCTCTCTTGATTTCCACTTCTGACAAGAGCCTCGTCCCAACCCTACCTGTCCTGTTTGGCCCGACAATGATCAGGGTAGCAGCAGTCTAGAGGCGCAATCCCCCCCGTTGACGGAACACCGCAGAACAAGGCAACACCCACAGTCATTGCTTCACAATGTGGCGGGATCGGACCAACCTGTATTTTCCAAACTTATACACCGGCCATCTTTGCGAACATGGTATGCTGATCTTTCGATTCATCATAGTTATATCTCCTACCGTCAGTCGTTCACACATCATCCGGCCAAGAAGCCACGTTATCTCGGCGCCTCCAATGGCTTCTCCGACATCCCCTCACAGCCTGAAGAGAGCCGCCGACTCATCGCCGAAACGGGCGGATCAGATGAGGATGGCGACGCTATCATCGAGATGGACGTATTACCCCCGCGCTGGGTCGATGTGCAGGATGAAGTGACGGAGCTGCTCGCCGACATCGCGCAGAAGTCCGCCCAGCTGGACAAGCTACACCAGAAGCACCTTCTCCCCGGGTTTGGTGACGAAGAGATCAGGAAGCAGGATGAAGCAGCAATCGAGCGACTCACCCAGGACATCACGCGCTCCTTCCACGTATGCCAGAAGGCCGTGCAGAGGATCGAGATGATGGTGCGGGATGCTAAACAGCAAAGCGGAGTCACCAGCGGAGATGAGACCATGGCGAAGAATCTACAGATCTCACTGGCCGCCCGCGTGCAGGAAGCCAGCGCTCGGTTCAGAAAGAAACAAAGCATTTACCTGAAGAGTGAGTTGAGCCTGCGAGCCCTCGCTTTCGGGCCTGTACATTCTGGCTCTATGCGCTAACCATTGTCTGGCTGTCAGAGCTACGAGGCTTGGAGGGCGGTGCTTCCTCTTTTGACCGGTCGCCGACCCCGATGCAGAACCCCTTCACAGATCCCTCCCTCCTGGAATCGGATGCGGACAAGTCCTTCTCCCAGTCCACCCTCATGCAAACCTCCCAGCGTCTGTCAACATCAAATGACGCCGCTATTGTACAACGGGAACGGGAAATCAATGATATCGCCAAAGGCATTATTGAGCTGTCAGACATCTTCCGCGAGCTACAGGCTATGGTGATTGATCAGGGTACTATGCTGGATCGCATAGATTACAACATCGAACGCATGGGTACGGAGGTCAAGGCGGCAGATAAGGAGCTCAAAGTAGTAAGTTCTATTTGGTCGTTGTATTGGGGAATGGGACTAACACAGCATCCTATTCCAGGCTACTAACTATCAACGGCGCACGGTCAAGCGCAAGATTCTCCTTCTCTTGGTAATATTGGTGGCAGGGTTATTCATCGTATTGCTAGTCAAACCAAAGAAACATGATTCTCCTGAGCTTCCTTCACCGGCACCGGCACCGGAGCCACCCTCTACACAGCAAAATCAACAATCCCCTGGATTGAGCTCTCGTGCATTCAGGTCAAGCTACCACCGAAAGAGACGACCGTCGTTGTCCAGGGTCGCGAGGGACAAATGGGTGGATCCAGACATATACCCATAGTTCTTTTCGTTGAATTCAGTCTTTTCGCCTGGTTCCGGTGATACATTGTCATTCTTCAATAGCAAAAACAGCCAACAGCCAGCCAACATCATAAATGATTGTAAGAAGTGCCTCCCTGCAGAAGCATGGTTAGACAACGGAAATACGGAGCTTGAACATGTGCGTGCCACTGAAAGCACACGATGGAAAATGAAAAGCTGGTGAATATGTCGAAAATCAGAGCGGTAGCTTGCATAACCATATACCCACCTAGTAGTGCGGGGTATCAATTCTGTGCATCGCCTTCCTGCTTCAAGAGCTCTGCCACATCAGCATCCAGATCTCCGCTCGCAAATTGAGCGTAGTCCTCTTCTTCGTGAGTGACCTTGCGTTTCTTGGCATGGAGGCCATTGGAACCGTCAAAAGCTAGATCCGATGTGGGGTAAGATGAGTTGAAGGGATGCTCAATTCCAGGAAGTGTGAACCCGCCGACAATCTGGGTTTCGTTGGTGAGTCCTGGAATTGTTTCCTGGGGAGCCTGTTTCGGAGAGCCAACGGGTGTCAGGGCCTCAACAGGTGGAGGGGTCAGAGCCTCGACCTCCGGCCGAGACACACTCGCTTCTCCTCCAAGCCCGAGGTCTCCATGATTAGCCGCAGGTGAATTTTCCGCAGACAGACCTCGCATGATGCCATCTTCGACCTCCCGCTTGGTCGCCTCGGTTTCGGCCTTTCGTTCTCCGAGCTGCGTGGCCAGTCTCTGCTCCTTTGACAAAGCTGAGCGATTGGTCTCCAACAGTTTCTCGAGACCATCGATTAGTGCCAACCGTGACTTGATAACCTCCGACACGGAGCTCTCCGCATTCGCCAGAGCCTTCAACAGTTGGCTGAGCCGTGCAGCATGCACCGGAGGGGTTGGCAATGGGTTCTTCGGATCGTGTAGCTTATCGTACTCTGCGTTGGCAGCGGTGGCGGATGAAGTGGAAGTTACTGCAGCTTTCGAAAGGGCTGACTGCAAAGGGACCAAGGGCTGAAGCTCAGATGGGGTGGAGCCGGACGACGTTGAGAAGAGTGATCCTCCCAATGGCGGCTTTTTCCCGGTAGAGCGCGATTTGTCAATCTCTAGAAAGATATGAGCTAAACATGTATTAAACCGTCCATGCAAAGCATCCTTACCATCCACTCGAGCCTCGATAACATCCTGAATTGACGGCTCGAAGATTGCCCGCGCCCTCCAAACCTCTATTACCCGTCGTAGCTTCTGTTGAATGTCATTCGAGGCACCCTTGTACGCGGTAGCCGTAGCCTCCGCGATGATCTTGTAGATGTCAGCTTTCATCCTGAAGCTTACCGAAGTTTTGGCGTGACCTACTGGAGAGAACGCGAGGAGGAAGTCTTCCTTGCGCCGCGCGCGCGACTGTTGCACGACCTCTGGGTTGGGTCAGTCATCGGGAGTCAGGCTAGTAGTATGTGCCGTGCGTACCATTGGCGAGATAGATCAGATTCAATCGCTTCGGCGCAGGCGATTCTCGCAATTTCTGCAGCCAAAGCTGCCCTGTCCGGTCTGCGTGTCGTCTATCGATTGCGGACCTGGTTAGCCAAGACCAATTGGTTATCCATAGCTGTCAAGATCGTTTACCTATGGAACATAACCCATTGGGCGACTGTGACAATGCCTTCTTGAGTCTCATTGAGCGCAGAGAGCTTCGCTTTAACAGCGTCATCGGTGTAAGCCATTGTGGTTGCCTCGCTCTTTCAGAACAGCAATCTACTCTGGGCCGGCAAGTGTGATGGGGTAATTGTGGATTTCGGTATGTTTGGGCTGGCGACTCGATTTGTGAGAGGTAGATAAGTGATGTTTAACCCTTGGAGATACGAACGGGACGAGGCGAGCGAGCAGAAATACCAAGACGAGGCTCAGATGAGCAGAGAGAATAGAAAGAAGGACTACTGAGGTGAAAGTGAAGGATTCCCTGAAGAGTAGTCACTCTCTCCTCTCCGATGCAAGCTGCAGCCCAGAGCTCTTACCGCCCTCCGTGGCAGAATCCGGGGGGTTCTCCAATTGCCCATCCAAACGTACTCTCCGCCCGCATCCCCAACCCGCCAGCTGGTACCTTACATTCATTTCCCTCCCCTCCCTCCCTCCTCCTCCTCCTCCTCCTCCTCACCTCTTGCGTTTATTGACAGTTACCGCGCTTTACTGTGAAAAGTCGCATAAACTTTTTGAACTTCACACAATCGATCAAACATGGC